CCCGTCCCCGGTTCAGGTGGTCCAGTTCCCGGTTCCTGAGTGGAATCAAACCGGACCGGGAATCGATCATCTCTAGTGAATCTATTTAATGTTTTGAAATTGATTTGTTTCCAGATGTAATAGGTTAGGGGTCTGTCAAGAAGAAGTGAGAGGAGGAGAAAATCTTATTAACAGTGATATAAATTAAGGCAATTTTGTTAATTAACTGAAATCACAACAAAGAAACAACATAAAACACTTTAAAAAACATTCTTGTCAACATGCTGTGACGTCTTAGGATATAATCCTCGACACGATCCATCTTTTTGTACATCTTTCCCGCAATTATTAAGTATGTTGTCATCGCATCGCATGCTACACTCAAGCTCTTAATATACCAAGTGGACTATAGGTGGACTCCACGTATCTGGCTCCATTTGTACAGTCTATGCTCTCTTGGGGGATGCAATTGGCGCACTCTAGAAGTACTTGATAATTTGAGATGATACAGGCTCCATTGTTTCGCAAAAAATGTGACATTTTTTAAAAAAAAATTTCTAGGAAAATGACTAATTTCCGGTGTTTGACTAAAACATGAAAATGAACTAAAATTTATTTTTCGTCATTTGATAAAGAAAATCTGATGTGATTTTCCTAAATAGACATACACTATTCGGGTATAGAGAACCAAGGTCCTGCCTCGATGGACCTCGACCTGGGTGCTAGGGATCCAGGCATGAGCACCGGGGTCTCAGGCCTAGCCTCTGTAGACTCAGGCCGAGGTGCAAGGGAGTCGAGCAAGGGTACTGGGTCCTAGGCCGGCCTCTGTGAACCTGGGTCAGGGCACCAAGGTCGTGAGCATGAGCTTTGGTGTCTCAAGCCTAACCTCTATGTGGACCTAAGCTTGAGCCCGGGCACAGGGGTTCATAGGCCAACCTCTTTTGACTTGGGCTTGGCCTCAATGGAACCTCAATGGAACCCCAATGGACTCGACCCCAGCCTCTAGACTTAGGTTCGTGGCCAAGAGCCCGGAAACAAGCTTTGGGGTTCTCTTGCCCAAACGCAAAGTTTTTGGTCCAAGTGCCAATATCCAATCATTTTTGGAAAATAATTTTCAATTTTTTAAAGAGGAAGTTATTTTCCTGAATTTAAGTATAGGTTTTCCGTTGACTCATTTTCCTATTTTCTTAACCGATCCAAACATCAGAAAGTGAGGAAAATGTTTTCCTAAAAAAAGTTTTTCACGAAACAAATGGAGCTTTAGAGTTTTATCGTGTGCAGATACGATCACATAATAAACCCTAGCTCATTGTGCAATCACAAAAACATTAATTACTCACAAATGAGTAATGCTGAGTTGTTTAGATGACATATATACTTTTGACCAGCCTAAAATGGTGCTTACATATAACAACACCTATATGAATAACCCTCTTTGCATATGTTTTAATTGTTAGGGAACAGACGTATATCAATTTAACGTGCAATTTCACTCTCTCCAATTCGCCTAACTAAGGTGATAAATTTTTCTCATCATAGAAAAACCAATCCTCGCTGAAAATTGAATTTGCATTGACAATGTGGAGATCGTGTAAATCTCATTGCAATAGTCAAATAGATAAAGCGACTAAGTTTGTACCTCAACAACGGTAAGATCTCATAAGTGATCTAATGACAGAAAGTTTTAAGGCTGATATCATTCCTAGAGGATATTAAGTTGTTGTACTACCTTTAATCAAGTTGAGGAGGTGGACCAAGTCAAATATAATATAAAATGGCTTCTCAAAATAGAATCAAGGGTGTTTTCTAGGCAGTTGTTAAGCATATTCATTAGGAGTGTTTAAATTTTTAAAGTGTTATTGTCTACGACACGAGAATCAATGTATTGATAGTTGAGGTGTCTTTCTATGATTGCTTAACAGTTGCTCCGGTAGCATTCATCCATTAATAGAATTCTCCATAATTCCTCTTAGAATAGAATTGGATGCAGGCATAATTTGAAAGATAATGTTCAATAATTATTAAAACACGTCACTAAAATCATGCGATAGCCATCTATACATCAAGGCCCATAACTTATGGAAGTGATCAAATAACAAAAACGACACCAGAGAGAGAGAGAGAGAGAGAGAGAGAGAGAGAGAGAGAGAGAGAGAGAAAAGAATATCAAGCCGTCACTCATTCTCCAACATCATCCACGGCAGCTGATAACGGCAAAATAAATAAATAAATAAACAAATAAATAAATGAAAGAAAAGAAAAGAAAATGCAACCCTAACCCTTTCAAACCATCAATCATTATGAAGAAAATTCGCTTTCATGGGATTGGGCTGTACGTTAATCATTTCATTTCGTTTCATTCTTTTTTCTCGATTATTATCGCATTCGTCACCTTCCGATTACGTGTAGCCTTGCTCACATTGCCATAGCTGGTCTTCCGGCGCGTTAAACTCCCGCGTATGATGGGTTAACTTTTTCCATCGCTATCTTGCAGAAAAAAATTTATTCTCATCATCAATTTCATGGTAAGAACCGAGTCATTTCTCTCTCTCTCTCTCTCTCTCTCGCTCTCTTGTTTGTATGTGTGTGTGAGTGTGAATCTTGATCTATATGTAATATAGTGTCAACTTGATCAAGAACCATCCAAGACTCAAACCCAGGCCAAACGAAATCATGATCTCTAGTTTCTTAATTAAAAACTTGGATAAACCGGAGCAGAGCTCAAAGTAAAATGCACAAATTTAATTCATCTCAACCCTAATTTCAGTGATTTTGAAGCTCTCTCTCTCCCTCTCTCTCTCTCTGAATCTTGATCTATAGGTAGTATAGTGTCAACTTGATCAAGAACCATCCAAGACTCAAACCCCAAGCCAAACGAAAGAAAACTGAAAGAATCGTGACTCATACATGCACGTACCGTATGCTGCTTCTGTTATTAAGTAATTGTTTTCAACTTGACGTACTGTAATTATTATTTAGTTTATACGCGTGACCCAGAAAGAAAAAAGAAAGGCCACTGCAACTTTTGTTAGGTCCCTTTAGCACTATCAGATTCATAACATCCATTCGTGCAAAATATACTAATTGATCAACAGCTACAGCATATACTATATCCTTATATCCATGTCATTCCCAGAAATAAAGGCAGAATCTAAGAGAAGAAGGCATACTGTTCTAGCGACTGCGTACGATAGCTACATGTTTCCAAATTCCATAATGCACATCTGTCTACAAAACGATGTGAAAAGGATACGACGTCCGCAGGGGCCACCAACCTAGCAGCTATATAGCTCCGTGTCGATCCTCCTTGAAATAGAAAGAATACGTAATTGGCTCCTTAATTATTTAGAGCAAAGTTAGATCATGTGGTTATTTCTGTCGCGCTCATATATGCTGAAGGACTCAGCTCCAATTATTTCCCCGACTATGTATTGTTCTGATTATAGAGACCCCAGTCGGGTCATCATCCTTAGTATATGTGTCCTAATTATTATCATGAGATGATACATAGGGTGACAACCATACTTTTGTCCATATTTCCATTATTATTGCATCCGAGACAGTAGTCACTACCAATGAAACTGAACACCCTAGAGAGAGAGAGAGAGAGAGAGAGAGAGAGAGAGAGAGTATAGATCATAAGGTGGACCCGGAGATGGGTGATCGAAGAGGATGGTTGCGCCTTAACATCAGACTGATTCGATTATCCTTGTGTGATTGAAAAATTGAGCTGACGTGGGGTTATTCTAATTCCATCATATTATAATCGCTTCTATTTTTACAGCTTACAAGATGATTTGTTTCCGTTAATGGTCGTTCATGTCGCAGCTCAGATCAAATGGTTCACGTGCCTCAGGTCCATATTCTTTTGGACGAACGTGTTGTCGAAGAGAAGATGGGCCCCCCCCCCATCATAAGAATGGCCCGACAAATTTGATTATCAAATCCACGTATTGTGATGTATGTTTCATCACGGACTTACTTAGAAACTAATAACCAATTTTTTAATTCTGATTTGGCTTAATAAAGACACCAACTTCATATACGTACGACAACAATGTAAATGTGCTAGCAGATTTTCCTCCAATAGAATAAGAAGCAGCCACTTCAATCCCTTACAAGATTCAAGTGTTGGCCAACTTTTTTCTATTATTTTTCTTGTTTTCAGCTGGGGACGCTATCCAAAAGATTGATTATATCTTGCTTGATAAAGATAAAAATGGAAAAATAAAATAGTACTGAGGACCACTAAGGTTTAACATGTGAGATCCAATAGGTGCTATTGGATTTTTCCTTGCTCAAGCATGTGATTCTTTGAGAGAATATGTTAGGAAGCGGCACATCATCGGTTTGAGCACTTCTAGTGTTTTTGGTGGGTTTGGACGTGTTTAAACGTAGCAACAAACATTCATGTACATGCTCTTTCATTTGTACATTGATTTTCTTGCATGGATATAAGTTAACAACAGCAAAAAGAATAAGAGGGTTGAAAAGAAGAAGCTGATCCAACACTCGAACTTATCTAAGTACGTTTAGAGAAGCTAATCGCATACATTATTACAAGCTTGTTTGCTGATCAGAGAAGGGGAAAGAAAGAACAGTAAAATCATGCAAGATATTTTGGAATTTTGCATGCTGCCAGCGAATTATCGTCCACAGAAAATCAATGTTATTTTATGGCACTTGAAAAGATAATGAGATCATAATTTTTTTGGGATAATATAACCGATAATCAACTACGTAGATGAAAAGGAGTATTTTGGAAGGTTTCTCGATAAAAATTGGGCTTGGCTTTTGTACATTGGTTGCATCAATTGCACCACTGAACAGTGCCCTCTCTGTCTCTCTCTCTCTCTCTCTCTCTAGAGAGAGATTTCTTGTGACTTTGGTTTTTCTTGTGACTTCATGCCCCAATTAAAAATAAATAAAGAAATGCTCTCTCGATAGAATAATGTGCAAAATTTCTTATAGGCAAAGGCATGCACCGTCGGCCTTGCAGTATAAAAAGGCAATCGCTTTGTGGTCTTTAGAATATTTCCAAATCCCAAGAACCAAAAGAAGGAGAAACTTCCCCTCCCTCATAGCTTCCTTATTATTTTTACGATCGTCATCCCCATCCTCCTCATCATCATCTGCAATCACCAAATTCGTACCCACAAAAGAAAAGTGAGGATTTAGTCGGAAGAAATGGGGTTGAGAGACATTGGAGCAACACTGCCTCCTGGGTTTAGGTTTTACCCAAGTGATGAGGAGTTGGTGTGTCATTATCTGTTCAAGAAGATCGCCAATGAGCAGAGCTTGAAGGGCACTTTGGTCGAGGTTGACTTGCACACTTGTGAGCCATGGCAGCTTCCCGGTACTTCTTTCTTATCTTGTTTTTCGTATTAGTTCCTTCTCTTATTTCTTTCTATTGTCGTTTATTGTTTCCTTAGACGGGATAAGCTCGAGACATGCATGCATGTGCTTGGTTTCATGGCCTCTGAAATTTTAAGCCCAACTTGTCTGTGTTTCTTGGTTTTTGCGCTGACACACACACAACCTCACCCCAGAGAGAGAGAGAGAGAGAGAGAGAGAGAGAGAGAGAGAGAGAGAGAGAGAGAGAGAGAGAGAGATTGTTTTGTTTCTGAGGATGGTTGGATTTGGACCCATAAATATTATTGGTCACTATAGCAATTCAACCTGTTTTGCTGCTTCATTATTAACTTTCTGTTCTTGGATGCGAAGGAACTATTGAATTGCTTATCTCTTTTTTGTTTGCCAGAACCACACACACACACACACACACACACACACACACACACACACACAACATACTTGAACGCAAACAGAAAAGAAGAAAAGAAACATGTACGCTAGACAGTATGTATGTCTTAGTATTCTCTCTTTTTGCTAGGGTATACATCTTAGTATCTTACTCCTATGGCAAATTGTTTTTCTTACTGTCATCTTTCTTTAGCATCTTTAGGCACTGCCTTTTAGAGGGCTAATTGGGGAGATACGCATATACACAACATATCTATATCGATATACTTGTATATTATTACCGTAATCATGAACTATAATATGTTATTCGACACGAAACACTAGGAAAATGTCAAAAGTATCTGGATATATCGTCATGTAGAAGAATAATTGGTTGCTTCCTGATTTTTTTCGAACTTACCATGAAATCACCGTAAGACACGGTAGTTATGGTACTAGATGTCTGAAAGACCTGCTTGGTTTTCTTCTTTCTTTTTTCTTTTTCTTGCGTCTCCTTTATTCAGCCCAAGCTTCTGGTTTACAAAACAGAGAAAAAGGAGCCACAAAGGTCAACAACTTTTAGAAAAGTTGTCGAGAAAAAGTAATTCTTTCTAAAGCATCAACAGGCCACTTGAACTTGTAACCCAAGATTCATCTCCTGCCTAGTGTTAATTAACATCTTCCAAAACAGTTGCCACCTTATTATAGAGCTTTAAAAGTTCAATTATATAGAAAGAGCTTGTCTCTTGAGTATATTGTTTATCAATTTTTCACATATGGAGCATATTTTCGTCTTTAATATGGTCCTAAATTAACCTGCACTTAATAAATCATATGCAAAATGAAGACATGGGGTTACCGACATCGACTATGATCAAAGCATGGTTACTATGAGTTTACGCAAATCCAATCTTAATATCGTGGCTAATTATATTATATGATTGCATTAGGTAATAACCTTGATTATCTAGGATGGAAAGGATAGAAATTCGGTAAGATCAATTAAAAGCTTTTCGATTTTGGTTCTTGTATTAGTCATTTGTACAAAATTACGGTTTCATTTTGAGAGCACCTATTTCTTTGTGGATGATGTGTTACTGTGTACTTGTGATGTGGCCCAACAGATGTGGCCAAGCTCAATGCCAGCGAGTGGTACTTCTTCAGCTTTCGCGACCGCAAGTACGCGACCGGGTTCCGAACCAATCGTGCCACGACATCGGGATACTGGAAAGCTACAGGGAAGGATCGAACGGTGCACGATCCGGCAACACGCGAAATCGTGGGGATGAGGAAGACGTTGGTGTTCTACAGGAACCGAGCTCCGAATGGGATCAAAACGGGGTGGATCATGCATGAGTTCCGCTTGGAGACTCCACACATGCCTCCTAAGGTGCAAAAGACTCTCCTTTGTTTTTTCTTCTTTGATTGTTGGACTTTTACTGTTATGCCTGCTTGAGCGAATGAAAATGTTTTACACCAGCACCGCTCATAAGATTCGATTTCATTTTCAATTCGTCGTACATAAATCCTAAAATCAAGGGTGTGTGTTGGAAATTTCTAGTGGTCATCCATCGGCCTAATACAAAAACATTTTCGTTTCCTTATTTCCATTGTTCTCATTGTGGTTCCGGTGCTTTCAAGTTACGCATATAAGAGAGAGAGAGAGAGAGAGAGAGAGAGAGAGAGAGAGAGAGAGAGAGAGAGAGAGAGAGAGAGAGAGAGAGAGAGAGAGATCGGCGAAGACAAGATTGAGGTTGACAATTCGAGAAATGAAAACATCGTGTTCTCTAAATAGGAAACTAACCTTAGACATTCTCTCATTGATTCCCCACTTACGTTGTTACACACGAGAGAGAGAGAGAGAGAGAGAGTTATTCCCAGGAAAGTAGCAGGAAATTGCCCCTCTTGTCCATCTTTTTGGTCTCCCTACTGGTCACATGATCATGTCTCAGGGAAGTTATTGCTTGAATCTACCTTAGAGGGATAACCGTAGTTGATAATAGTCAAAACATTTGGACAGTGCGATCGATGCATCCAGAACTAGTCGAACCGAATAAAATTCGAATACCTTTTTGTTCTTGAAAAAAATATAAGTTTCTCTTTCTTTATCAAGTAATGATTGTCTATATATGCCTATGACATAGCGACATAAATCAATAACTCTTGTTAAAATTTGTGTCACCCCTGTTCCAAATGAGAATCCTCACATATCTTCTGATATATATGATACACAGGAGGATTGGGTACTGTGCAGAGTGTTTCACAGAAGCAAGGCAGAGGGCAGCGACAAACTAAGCCCACCCTACATGTTTGAGGCACCTTCCACCACCGCAATCAATATTGCACCTTCTCTCAAATCTCCTCCAAATGACCCAACCACAACCATGCCTTATCATCATCATCAGCATCACTCTTATCACGCAACACTCACCTCATCACTATCCTCAAGCTCAACCCACCACCATGACCATCACCACAACCACAATTCAAATTCTCTCCATCTTCTTCACTACCCAAATAACGTTCAAGAAAGAAACATGCCCCCGGCCTCCAATATGATGTCGGACATCGACTCCAAGTTTGTCGACGATGACTACGGCTTCCTTTGGGACGCCAACCTAGAAGAGAGTAGCATCTGCGATGGGGTTTCCTCGAACCTAGGCAGAGAGGACGTGAGATTTGAAATGGATAATAGTGTGGTTTTCCTATAATTTAGGCTACAAAAGAAAAATTAAGAAAAAGTGTACACCCATTTCTCGCGTGTGATGTTATGGTCTTAATCGTGCTTGTTTAATTACACATTAGGAGAGAGAGAGAGAGAGAGAGAGAGAGAGAGAGAGAGAGAGCTTGTGCTAGGTTTGGTAGGTTTGTTTGTTCTCCCTTACATATAAAATACACAGCATATGGAATATTGTAAATAAATTATGTAAAGTCAAATTCTTTATGAGTGATGGACAAAATTTCCCTGTTCTTTACTTGTCGATCACGGGATTTGACGCGACTCTTTGAACTTTACTTTGGCAACGATAAGGGTCATCCTATAAACTTCTGTGCGCCAAACATTCATTACTTATTAATTAGCCGGTGCTTTAAGCGCACATGTCTACGCACATATGTTTGAATTGTTAGCAATCCATTAATATAAAAGCTGATGCAAGAGATATGATTAGATTTATATTATGGTAAAATTCTATAATTTTGTTGAAGAATATCGTAACTTTACACATTAATACGTCACAGAAAAGATGCTACGATGTTATGCTTCCTAAGCACGTAAAACATAAATAAATAAAAATTAGCACACGATACTGGACGTTGTGTTTGAAATAAGTCTAAACAAAAAGTAGAAAATAAACCTAAACAAAACATGAATTATCCATGTTTCACTATATTGCAATTTAACCTACTTTTATTTTAAGGTTTTATTGCAAGTTTGAGATAAATAATTTTTTCCGTACTGCTAAAGTAACATGAGTTATTTACTCTGTCAAATTTCCTCAGAATTAATAGTAATAAACTAATGACGTTGTGTTATAAGTTAGGTATAATTTATTGGAAATTATTTATTATTCAAACTAAGTGAATTTATTTGTTCAATATAATATATTTTTACTGCACTAAATCAAATTACCCAAATAAAATCGATTATACTTTAATTAGAAATATATTTATCAATAACATATATATTGAGATTGGGATTTCTTCAGTTAATGGTATGAGCTAATACTTCCGATTATAAATGAATGTTTTACTTTTTTGTATTTTACTTTGATAAATATTTATATTTTTAAGTATTTATATAATTACTTTTATTCTAAGATATATAACTAAATAAGAAATATTATTCATTTAAGAAATCGTCTACACTAGAAAGTATAGTGAATTTTTTTCAATCAAGTGGAACTGATGTAAGGAAATAGGATATATTTTAAATCCCATATTGTACACTTTCAAATGATAGTTGTAATCATTTTTTTAAAGTGAGATTTCATTTAAATGACATAAGCTAGCTTAATAATATATACTAGCTTCGAACTATTTAGGGTTAATACCACCAAAATCCCAAATTAGTACATACGTGCAAAATTTACCCAAAACTAATTTTCTTGTCACCCGAAAATTAGTGACAAGAAAATTAGTTTGGGATGAATGTGGTACGAGTCTACTAGTTTGAGATTTTTTATGGTATTAACCAATCAATAACTATTGTAATACATAGTTTATATTTTTTTAAAAATATATTGTATCATTTAATGGTTAAATATATATTTATCTATTTATTCGAGTTGAAACTCAAATAGTTAAATTGTAGGTAAATAAGACATATTTTGTACTACAAATGTGACATCCTCAAATTTGGGATCAAGATAGCCAAAGGTAAATGGTGATAGAATGGGCGAGCAATCGAGCCGAGGGTCGGTAATGGAATGGATAATATGGTCGGAATGCGTGTACTACGGGTTGTCCTGGTGCGATCGAAAGATTAGCTATCAATTGACCTAAGAATCGACAGTGGAATGACTCCCGGGTCGTGCAAGTCGATTAGAGTGATACGACTGTGGATTGACCCTTCGACCATAAGGGCCGTCAGTGGGACGGTTCGAGATAACTATGGATCAGTGTCGTGTCGGCATGTGTCGATCGCGGGTGATATCGTGCGGCCATGCATCGGTCACGAATGACCATGAGTTGATCCCAGGGATACCGGATTCCACAAGACCACATGACAATCGAGAGTCGATCATGGATTGTTGATACTCGAACGTGGATCAATCGCGAATCGGCCACGGATCATTGCGTTGAGTCGGGTAGGCCAGGGTCGAGCCATGTGCTAGGCCATGAGCCAAGTGGCTTGGTCGTGGGCCCGGCATTGTGCCAGCCGCGCCGGCCAGGCCTTGTGCCCGATCATGACCGGCCATTGTGCCCGTCAATTAGGCCACGGACTGGCCTTGTGCCCATCCGTGTGCCGGTCATTGTGCCTGACCCTTGTGCCGGTCATTGTGCCTGACCCTTGTGCCGGTCATTGTGCCTGTTAGATCCGGCTCCGACTTAGTTCCGTACCCTATGAACTTGGGCCATGAGCCATGCATTGTGCCCATTCATGAGCCAATGCATGTGTTTAGTCCATGAACCGGCCCCTTGCTCGTGCGACTCGGCATCGTGCTCGGCGCATCGCTCGTGCAGCCCGGCACCGTGCCCATGCACTCAGCCATGCGCCTGGCCATGCGCCCGGCCATGTGCCCGTGTGGCCCGGCAGCGTGCCTAGCCCTACATCCGGTCAGGCCTAAATGTACAGGCCGTGCACCTAGGCAATCCGACCGGCCCAAGCTTACACCATTCGCCTTGGACTTTGGCTTGGATGTATTTGATCATATTTGGAGGAATTTTTTCACTGAACCTCGATCCGGCTAGGATGATAAATTATTTGAAACCCAGAATTTTCCCATTTACTTAGGCATTTTGCTAAGTACACTTATTGATTTTTTTAGCATATGCTTAAGTGCCATTAGCCAATGATCTTTAGGGAAAAATTAGCAAGTTTGGGCCAAGCATAGGGAACAAGAAGCCAAAGTTGACCAAGTCAAAGTTGGGACCAATAATTGGAAAGGTCATCATTAAGAGAATCTTATAAGATAAGATCTTCATTAATGCATATGATCTTCTTCATTAATGCATATGATCTTCTTCATTAATGCATGAGATCTTGCAATCTCTAGAGATAGGGCATTAATGGGAGCCAAGACAAGAGCCATTTATGAAGAGACCAATAATAGAGGAGTGTAGGCTTAAGTGTCCCCTAGATATTTAATGCATATGATGATTCATATAATCTAAGATAGGGCATTATGACCCTAGATAGACACTTGGAATTCAATTAGGCCATCAAATAATGAAGCCTAGGATTTGGTCAAGATTCTCTAGGATTTTCCAAGATTGCCTCTAATAATTAGGTGCCACTTGAATGCATTTCATTGGACCACTTGGCATGGCAATAATTGAGATCTTGGCCTATAAATAGAGAGACACCATGCCATGCTCATTTTTCTCCAAAAACCGAACAAGTCTCTTTCTCTCCCTACTCTCTCGGCTTCTCTCTTTCTCGGCCTCCATCTATCTCGTTCTCGGCCATCTCTTCTCCGGTCACTCATTCTCACCACCGCAACGTCACTAAATACCCTAGAGCCCCCGAGTAGTAAGTGAATTCCCTATACATTGGTTAGGGCGTAGTGTTGCGCGTTTGGATTCGAGGAGTGCTTATGTTTGTGATGCTTGGGGTTTGCACGTGTTTTCTTATTTCATATGTGGCCATGAGTCATGGCACAACCGAGGCACGAAATGGGGTGTTGTATGTCTCGTACTCATGTTGTGGTGTTCCGGAACGAGCTCGACTTGGTGCGGGTTTTACATTGAGGCATGTAAAACCGGGCTAAGTCTCGCTCCGAGCCAGCACTCGGCATGATGGATCGAGTCACGTGCCTTCGACCGCGCCCCGCATGTTAGGCAAGTTGTCTTAGAAAGCATGAATTACACAAGCACCACGTGTTTGCATAGGCTAATAAGATCAAGATAAGAACTGGAAATGTGTGTTATTTGTTGTATGATCACACGAGAGACTATGGCCATCACCGATGGATTTTAGGACGTTGCCGCCGCCGATAGATTTCGGGGCGATGCCGTCTTCAATGGATTTCGGAACGATGCCACTATTCGATGGATTTCGAGGCGATGCCCGAGGGAGTACTCGAATGTCCGGTGGTAAGCCGGAAGGATCGATGGATTTCAGTCATGAAATGATGAATCCCGTGTGTTGATCTTTGCATGTAACTTTGAAAACCTTGCTTGATGTTTTCTTGTTTGTTGAACATGCCATGTTTACTACAAGGCAAGGTAAGATACATTTGCTATTGATCTATCATCGACAAGCCATTGGTAACGTGTATTTCTTTTGTCCTATGTAAGGCTATTTCCTAGCCGGAGCATAGTGAATTTAGCTTACTGAGTGTCGACTCCCTTATTATTTTTAGCTTTGTAGGTATGGCCACGCCACCTCCCGTCCGATTTGGTCGACCCGTAGAAATGCATGTTCGAGTGGTAGATATTGTTGACGTAGAAGCTGGTGTCACCTATCGAAAGTATAGCATGACCGTTTGGGTCCAAGTGAATGCAAACGACATGGTCCCCCACCGTTACGTCGCCTGGTTCGTTTTGATGGACGGAGATGTGGTCGGACCCATTGAGGGGTATAATGGACCACCCGGGGCCAGAGTGGAGGAACCGTAGGGAGATGACTAAGCTCGGGAAGGAGACTAACCTTTTTGTTTTTGTGAAGGGACGTTAGTGAAGCTAAGCGTAACCCGGCCATGCGGAGTATGTGAACGGATACCGGACGAGATCCGGATGTATGCATAGGAGGAAAGGCCCGAAGTAAGAAGGACTTGTAAAACAAATAATCCACTATCATGTAAATATAGTGTGTTTGTATAATATGTTGCTTGGCTCACTTGTGTTCTTGTTATTGTTTGTTGATTGCTTCCGCTTGTGCTTAATGAAGAAAACAATAACGGGACGTTAAGATATATCCCCGGAACCTACATGAATCACGGTCGAGCTAGGAACAAGTGCCACAGCCTTGTCTCGGGGTGTGACAACAAAAATTAAAGCTCACGAACTATGTCTTTATCCGTGTTTTCATAATTTTAAATTAAATAAATTTTCTTTTTCTATATTTTATAAGTACTTAATTAAATCATTAGAATGAAATAAGTCGTAATTTAAGTTATACGTGTCTTCAGCTTTTTCTGCTTTTGTTTACTTTTTCATAAAGGTGTTGTCTTTTTCAAGTAGTAAATTGTGTTATCTAAGTATACTTTTAAAGATATTTTCTCATTATCTATTCTTTTCTAGTTTAAACTCAAAATTGGAATTGTCCATAAAAACTACATACAAAAGTTAAGCTAATCCATATTTTAGAA